ATATCATCGCGGAGAGCAGCAGGAACGACGAGGAGGTAAACAGTTTTCGTTGAATGAAAGTTGCGCTTGTAGAGCATGCCTTGGCGTAGACAGAAAGATGACAAATCACGCACGAACTGACGTGGGGGTTGTGGGCGACGTCCCTCAAGGTATTCGATCAGAGTGGCTGTAATTCTAAGTCTTCGCGTTGCTGCTCAGCCACGTTTAATGATGCGAGAAAAGCAAGGCAGCTGAAGTCTTCATTATTGTCTTCTTCAGTGACCTCGACGGGTGCGCGGGAAAGACAGTCAGCGTCAGTGTGTTTCTGACCAGACTTGTAAACCATTGTTATATCGAATTCTTGTAACCGAAGGCTCCATCTTGTGAGACGGCCCGAAGGATCTTTCAGATTCGCTAGCCAGCAGAGAGAGTGGTGGTCACTGACGATTCGGAAGGGGCGTCCGTACAAGTAGGGCCTGAATTTAGTTATGGCCCATACAACCGCCAGACATTCTTTTTCAGTCGTCGAGTAGTTATTCTCCGCAGATGACAACGTGTGGCTAGCGTAGGCGATGACGCGTTCCACGCCATCTTGATATTGCACGAGAATAGCTCCGAGGCCAAGGTTGCTCGCGTCAGTGCGGACTTCTGTGTCTGCTTCAGTGTCGTAGTGACCTAGGATCGGTGGCGTTTGTAGACGCTGTTGAAGATCGCGGAAAGCGCCGGATTGTTTGGGGCCCCAGACAAAGGTGACGTCATCCTTGACGAGTTGTTGTAGAGGGTCGGCGATTTTCGAAAAGTTCGGCACGAAGCGGCGGTAATAAGCACAAAGTCCCAGAAAGCGGCGTACATCATGCTTTGTTTTCGGTATCGGGAACAAAGCAACTGCCATAGCCTTGTCAGGATCGGGGCCAACACCACTGCTGCTGACAATGTGGCCAAGGAATTTCAGTTCCTCATATCCGAAATAACACTTTTCCGGTTTCTGAGAGAGACCAGCAGTGCGAATAACCAGAAAAACTGCCTCAAGCCGCTCAATGTGCTGTTCAAAAGTAGTAGAAAAAACGACTACGTCGTCTAAATACACTAAACAAGAGTACCACTTCAAACCACATAAAACTGTGTCCATCATTCGTTGGAACGTGGCTGGAGCAAAGCACAGGCCAAAAGGGAGAACTTTAAATTCATAGAGACCGTCCGGTGTAATAAACACTGTTTTTTCTCGGTCCCGTTCATCTACTTCAATCTGCCAATATCCGCTACGGAGATCCACGGAAGAGAAGTAACGGGCGTGTCGCAGGCGATCCAAGGAGTCATCAATACGAGGAAGAGGATATACGTCTTTTTTCGTTATCTTGTTCAGTTTGCGGTAGTCGACGCAGAATCGTAATGAACCATTTTTCTTTTTATATACGTCTTTTTTCGTTATCTTGTTCAGTTTGCGGTAGTCGACGCAGAATCGTAATGAACCATCTTTCTTTTTAACCAGAACAACTGGTGACGCCCAAGGACTAGTCGATGGTTGAATTACGTCGTCGTTGAGCATTTGTTTCACTTGATGACGGATAGTATCTTGCTCCTTCTGCGACACGCGGTAAGCATGTTGGCGCACGGGTTGCACGTTGGGCTCAGTGATAATTCTGTGCTTAATTATAGGAGTCTGCCGGACTTTCGAAGTAGTGGCAAAACAGTCACTAAAGGATGAGAGGAGACAAAGGAGCCTTGCCTTCTTAGGTGCTTCCAACTGGCGATTGACGTTGAGGCGACTAGTCACGTCAGTATCGCAGCTGTTCTCAGTCGAGATCGTCGTAATCAAAGGGAAGGCGTCCAAATCATCTAATGCCTCCAAGTAAGCTATGGTTGTGCGTTTCGCAAAATGCCTGTGTTCGCCACCGAAGTTCGTAACTAAAACTGTAGTCTGGCCATTTCGCAGTTGAACGAGACTTCGAGCAATGGCCACTTCCCGATCAAGCAATAACGTCAGGTTACTTTCGGCGATGCCCGTAATTGACTGCTCCCGTGGACACTCAACAAGCACGAAGATACTACTGCGAGGTGGCAACGTGACGCAATCATCGACTACGCGTAAGGCCACGCCACGATGTTCGTTCTCGATGTCGGAATCTGGAGAAACACAGTTAGCAAAACTGACGAACAAGTCACGCAGATTAATTATCGCTCCATACTCTTGCAGAAAATCCATGCCCAAAATGACCGGCCGAGAACAATTGGGCAGTACAAGGAATGATGCTACAAAAGCCGATGCACAAATCTCAAGCCTGGCGGTGCACCTTCCTACAGGGGATACGAGGTGTCCTCCAGCGGTGATTAGTTGAGGGCCGTCCCACGTTGTCAGCACCTTGTGTAGACGGGTGGCCAATGAAGCACTCATCACCGAGTAATCAGCTCCCGTGTCGACAAGCGCAGTCACCGGATAACAGTCGACGGAAGCGGTAATGGCAGCGGACGTTCTGTTGGCGGTTTCACAAACAGGCTTTAACGGCATGTCGTAAGGCAGCGGCGGAGATTATTTGTCGGTTCGCATGACAGCGGCCTCACCTCCGGAGGTCGCCCTTTTCAGTTTCCCCGGCGTGGGCTTGCGCCACTGACACCAGGGGATTCAAAGGCGAGTGGGGCGTGGTGCGTTGATGCGGACGGACGGGGTGATAATGACCGTGACTGTCGTCGCGGGGGGACAGGAGCGTGATGGCTACCTTCCAAGTAATCCGCAATTTCATGCGGGCGCTCACCATAGCGTAGACAACGGGCTTCGGGGTGAAATCCTTGTAGGCCTATTCGTCAGTAGTAACAGTCGCGGTACATGTGTCTAAATTCGCCACAATGGTAGCACAAAGGACGATTGTCGGGTGCACGCCAGACGGTGGACTTCCGCGGGCCAGGACGAAAATCTGCCTGAGAAGGCAGGCGATGGGCTGGACTTGGAAAGCGTCTGGGGGTCCCAGGAGGTTGATGAGCAAAATGTGCCGTCGACGGCGTAGAGGCGCGTAGGGCATCCGCGTAGGAAAGCGTAGTAGGTTCGACTTGCGATGGTGGTAAGGAGTGAACGAACTGCCTGATTTCATTAAGAATGACGTCCGTAAGAGCAGCGCTACTGGGAGGCGGCGCTGCATGAAATTTCCGAAGTTCTTCGCGTACAACTTGCCGTATGAGTTCTGTTAGGACCTCCCTGTTATGACCTCCTGGTACAAGCGAGCACGCAGCGGACATGGCCGTCTGACGCTCATAATGCAAAACCCGTTGCCAAAGCATGCGCTCCATAATTGTGGCCTCACGTATGAACTCGGACACAGTCGTAGGAGGGTTGCGCACAAGGCCCGCGAAAAGTTGCTGCTTCACGCCTCGCATTAGGAGGCGCACTTTCTTGTCTTCTGGCATGTGGGGGTCAGCCCGTCGAAACAATCGCGACATTTCTTCGACAAACATGGCGACGCTCTCATTCGGCATTTGAAATCGCGAAGAAAGTGCCTGCTCCGCTCTTTCTTTCCGTTCGGGGTTACTGAACGCCTCGCGAAGCTGCCGATGGAATTCCTGCCAACTTGTGAATGAAGTTTCGTGGTTCTCATACCACACTCTTGCCGTGTCTAAGAGGGAGATATACACGTTCTTCAACTTACGGCGATTGTCCCAGTCATTGATGGCAGCGACACGGTAGAAATGGTCATGCCACTCTTCGACATCCTCACTGGCATCACCATGGAATGAATTGGATGTGTGAGGCGTGTTGATGACACAGGGTATGCTAGCGAGTGGGTGATGTTCGGTTTGGGTTGCGGATGTGGCAAACATTGTCCTCACGGAACTTGCCAAGGGGCCGTACTGTGGTGGTAGTCCTTGAAGGCGGCGGCTACTTCGATAGATGTCAGCAGACCCTGGTGCACTGGCGGTGGTTGCTTCTGGTTTAGGACCAGCAGGCATAAGACGTTGCAGTACAGTACCCAGCACGTCCACCAGTCTGTCGCGAGAGGAAACAATAGGCAGGAACTCGAAGTGGAGGACTGTTTACTCAGTCACAGCTGCCATTCACTTCTTCGCTCTCGTCTTCTGCCACCAACACAGCGTGGCAATATGATATATACAATCTTTACATTGGCTGAGTTAACTAAAATTCTGAGTGGTTACCTGCCCCTTTAAGAGTCTGTGTGGTTATACCTCCAAACTTTGAATCACAAAGGCGCGTGTAAGCAAACGCTACATTCGTAGAACAGCAGCTGAAATTCTGCACGTTGCATGTTTCCATATTGCACATGCTCGCAAACAAAGCTATTTGTGTGCTGCTCAGTCGCGTAGCCAAGAATTTGTTTCAGAGGGGGAACAGCCTTGGTTGAGATGTGGAGGCTCGATGATTGATTGATATGTGGGGTTTAACGTCCCAAAACTACCATATGATTATGAGAGACGCCGTAGTGGAGGGCTACGGAAATTATGACCACCTGGGGTTCTTTAACGTGCACCCAAATCTGAGTACACGGGCCTACAACATTTCCGCCTCCATCGGAAATGCAGCCGCCGCAGCCGGAATTTGAACCCGCGACCTGCGGGTCAGCAGCCGAGTACCTTAGCCACTAGACCACCGTGGCGGGGCGTGGAGGCTCGACAGGTGGTATTGTTTCCGTCATGCAACTATACAACTTATATAAACCTGCTTCACATACAAACTTACTGATCAAACCGTGCTAGGTTTATTCATTCTAAAAGACGGGGCACACAAACCCGGACAGAAGAAGAAAGTAGAGTAACCTCAAACGCCGAATGGTAGCCTGTGTTTGTGGTGTCTTGACTTCTTTTTTGGGTCTATTATTGACGTTCTGTATTTTTGAATGAAGACTTACTAACTAGCTCAGCTCTCGTAACTCTAGGTTTGTTAGTTCGCATTCTTCCTGTGCCCCCTCCGTTCTCGTTTCTTAACGTTTTCAACTTGGTGCCATGTCTTTCAAGTGCTACGTGCACAAACCAGCCCAACTGCACAACTAGACCAACCATGCTGAATATCATTCACTCACATTGAGTGCCTTGCCCTTGCGAATCTGCTCCAGCAGCGCTCCTCGAACGTCCTGGCCAGCTACGCCGGCTCCTGCCCCTCCTATCCCATTGGCCGCTGGAATCGGGGGTGGGGGAGGAGGAACTCCGGCCCCCATGCTGGGGGGAGGAGGTGGCGGAGGTGGGGGTGGGGCCGCCTGAGGGGAGGCTGTGGAGCGCATCCTGCCATTGCTCAGTGGGGTTGGTGGGGCGCGTGTCTGTCCAGTTCGTGCTGGAGGTGGGGGTGGGACAGATCTCGGCACTGCCCCGTTGGGTGGCGGTGGAGCATGAGCATGAGGTGTTGGGGGAGGCCGACTAGGAGGCCCACTTGTGTGCTCTCTCGAAGGCACTGCGGGAGGTGCAGCCGGAGTAGCTGTACGGAAGAAGACCACTTCAGAAAACTTTCATTTTAGGTCAGTTATCAACACCCCAAAATTGCTTAAAAGCATCGGGGTGAACACGCAACTGTAGTGAACACATTACTCAGTCGGTAACTGTATTGGTGAATACATTACCAAATGCAGAATGAAACGTATAATGCACAAGAAGGCATAAAAGCAATGACTGGGGTCAAATTTCTGAATATGAAGAAATTGGAATTACTGCCGGTATCTTTTCATAAATAGTGACCGCTTCAATATGAATTTCCACTTAGGAAATGTCAACGGCATTATTATTAAAAGCTTAGCATTTTGCTGATGCCCATAGGGCTGTGCCCTTCATTTAGGAGCGTTCAGAAAAGATGAAGTTTTTGTGCATACTGTGAAATCCCAAGCAACTGCCCCTATCTGAGCGAGTACCTATTCCTCTATATGAGAAATTTGATAATGGCTGTGCATGTGCCCGACCTGCCTTCCTCTTGCACCATTTTTAAAATTTTTTTGCTACCTGTTCACCGATACAGAATCCTGGAGCACGGGTTCCCAGGAATCCATGCTCAGTCTTCAGATATGTGGACAATTTCTTAGTAGCGTTATACTGTGGTGCCTTAGGTTTGCATTCTGAGTCGCTACAAATTTTTGGTACATCTGAAGAACATCTTTATCTCTTGTTATACCGATTCCATATAAGGATTCCCACCGGTACCATAAAAACTGCAACTACATAAATATTAAATTAAGCATTTCATTAGAAACACAGGTGTACATTCTTTTTGGAGGCCCTTCAGCTGCCATTTTAAATTTTAGCTGGCAATTGAGCAAAGCTCCCCCTCCTCCAATACTTGTACAATTATCTGTTACTGTAGGCAGGGGTGAAAGTGGGAGGGGGAGTGCACTCGCTCAGGCTTTTTACAATATCTGAACTTGGGGTTGTTGAAGAAAAACAGAACTGTGACAAAACAAGCATTACTTTGTATCGTTTGATGCCACAGAATAATGCAAAATATTCCCAGGTCTGCATGCCAAGTATGAATGATCTTATCTCCGTTGTACAGACAAAGTTTGAACAGTCCTCGACACTTACACGTGTAAAACAGACCTACCTTCAATCAATTCTTACCCAAACACATCTGTGCAAGAGGAAAAACAAAAAGATAGTTCATATCAGTTTCAGTTTTGGTGGTTAGGTTGAAATTACAACACTATTACAACATACCGGTGCCATAGCTTCATAGAATTAAACTTTGCTATAATAGATTTTGACAGCACCTGCTTGCGCTCACACAATTTACAGGCAAAAACGAATATTTGTGCTCCAATGTAGGCAGAAACTTAGCAATGCAAATTTCATTGAATATATATGGCAAAAAAAAAAAGGACATTCAATTTTACCATTTTCAGATGTCAAGTTCTTGAAGAAAATTCAAAAATTAGCCTGATGGTCATTTTCTCTATAGATACAGACCCTGCAATGGTAACATTAATATGAAAGAGTTCCCAAAGGATGATCTAACTCCCTGTACTGCTTTGCATCACACCACTACTACAACTACACTCAAACCTCATTAGTCTAATAAACTTGCATTTCACACAAAAATAAGTAAGTTATATCTGGAAATTCATTATAACCACCAATGTTTCGTTATATCAGTGTTCGTTATGTAGAAGCATGAGTATACTATAGTAGCTCTTCTGTCAGACTTCATAAGATGCTTCATGAGGAAGAAAAGAAAAAAAAAAAGCTTTCTTTGATGAAATTATGCGCTCTGTTGAACCTATGAGAACAGCGGAATGAAGTCCGGCTTTGCTGAGGCTGACAGCTGGTTTCTTACCTGCATGTCCGGTCTTGGCGGCCGTTCCCTTGATCATGTCGGCTCCACCATTCTTGGCAATGAAATCGTAGATGAACTGCCGCGTGCCGGGCTCCTTGAGGTCTTTTTCTGTGACCATCGCCATCTCAAAAAGAGTGTTGAGCTCCTTGCTGTCAACATAGTTCTCCAACTGTCAATAAAATACATAAAATAAAAGGGGATAAATAGAGGAATCACACTGTAATTAATGTGTACACAGGTGTTCAATGAACCTTTGTTACGCTTGAACAAAACGTTTCTCTATATAATATTCTTTGTTTGAACCATAACTGCTTGTACACAGTACAGTCGACTCCCGGTAATTCGAAGTCGCTTAATTGGAAGTTTTGGTTAATTAGAAATGAGCAAGTGGTCCCATCAGTTTTGCATGCAATCGTATAGAAAAAAATGCTCGATAATTCAAAGTTAAAAACCCATAATATTGGTTAATTAGAAGTTTTTTCAATCGACAGTCTCGTCGCGACCGTAATTTTACAGTAAAATGGGGAACTTTTCATATGCCAAAACATCTGCCGGACCGCGCTGGTGTCTTCGCCATCACTACTGTCCGCAGCGCCACAGATCTTGAAGCGGCAATCTTTTTAACGCTGGCGAATCGCATCGGCGGCATCGACAGACTCTTTAGTTGACTTTTGTCGAGACTCGAGTGTGTCACCGCGTCACCCGCGCGCTGGGTTGATTCCACACGTGTTTCCGCGCTTCTGATTTTGAGTGTTGTGGTGGTGACGTACGTTTGATAATGGCAACTCGTGGCCCTTACCGAACGCTAGACCTAGCGACGAAAGTCGAAGTCTTGAAGGAAGTTGACCAGGGAGGCACCGCCAAACAAGACAGTGCAAGAAAGTACGGCATTAAGCCTAACACGCTGTCGACTTTCATAAAGAATAAGCGCTCAATATTGGATGCGTTTGAAAGTGAAAAATTCAAGACATCCCGAAAGCGGATGCGCACCGGCGCCTAGCCCGAGTTGGAGGAAGCACTGCTGATTTGGGTCAGAGAGGCACGAAACAACAAACTTCCTCTTAGTGGTGAAGTCGTCACGGCAAAAGCATCATCGCTTGCTGAAATGTTGGGCATCAACGACTTCGCTGCTTCGGATGGGTGGCTTACGCGTTTTAAACATCGCCACGACTTGATTTTTAAAAGCGTGTGTGGGGAGAAGGCGTCAGTCGATAAAGAAACGTGCCTGACATGGAAAGCGGGCAAGCTTCGCGAGTACCTCGAAGAATACCAGCCGGCAGACATTTTTAATGCAGACGAGACTGCGCTTTTTTATCGGCTGCTACCGGACAAGACCCTGACATTTAAAGACGACGACTGTTCTGGAGGCAAAAGAAGCAAAGAGAGAGTGTCAGTGCTAGTCGCGGCGAACATGACTGGCACAGAACGGTGTCGCCTGCTTGTGACCGGGAAGGCTGCCAAGCCTGGGTGCTTTAAAGGCGTGAAGACGCTTCCTGTGGATTATGCCTCGAACAGAAAGGCATGGATGACATCCGATATATTTAAAGACTGGATCACCAAACTCGACCGAAAGTTCGCCCAATCAAGCCGTAAGGTGTTGTTCCTTGTGGACCAATGTAGTGCCCACATGAACGTACCTGCCTTGAGTGCCATCTGTCTTGTGTACCTGCCTGCAAACACGACGTCCGTGTTGCAGCCAATAGACCAGGGCATAATAAAAAATGTGAAGGTATTATATAGGCAGCATCTCGTAGAGCGCATGCTTTTGTGCATGGACAACTCGTCGCAATACGAGGTGAGTTTGCTTAGTGCCATCAACATGCTAGCGCGAGCTTGGACCCGCGTGAAAGAAGAAACCATCGCCAATTGTTTCCGGGCCTGTGGTTTCATGGAAAACTCGGGGGATGCTTCTCCTTGTGCGCCAGTGGAAGTGCAAACAAATGAGCTCGACGACGGTAGCTTTCGCGCCGCTCTCGGTGACGTCCGTTTTGACGAGTATGCCGCTGTGGACAGCAACGTCGAAACATGCGGTCCACTAACGGACAGCGAAATCGTGCAGATGGTTCGGCCCCATGACTGCATTCCTGAAAATGACGATGATGACGACGACATTGGAAATGAGCCACCACCGAGGGCCGCCGATGTAGCTGCGGGTCTTGCTCTTGCGCAGCGGTTTTTTGTTGGAGAACACAACACCGAAGAAGCACTTCGACACGTGCATTCCTTACAAAACTTGCTAGCCGCAGCCAGATTCGGCAAGCAGAAGAAGATGACAGACTATTTTTCCTCAAAACTGTCGCGCTTTTAAACTAATAAAAGTGCCGTTTTTAGTGCTTTTTGCTTAATTTGAAGTTCGTTTAATTCGAAGTTTTTTGCGGTTCCCGTGAACTTCGTATTAACGGGAGTCGACTGTATATTCAGATGCTTCTCACAAAAAGCAGCATGCAAGCGAGCCACACTGAGGTAGAGTTCAAAAAATATTCTTTATAGTATTATCTCCCCATAAAGCAAATGAAAATTTGGCTCTAAAGAGTCCCATTGTAAAATATGGTGTTTCCAGGGTGGTAGTGTTAATGCATACGTTAATCATCAACCCTGAACCCAACCACACAAGTGTGGTAGAATGGCTATTGAACACATCTACCATGGAAGATATTCACCACCTGCCAGGGTCATTGAAAGTGGTACGGGATTACACCAGAAACCAAAAGTTTCAAGAGTAGAATCTCTTGCAATAGAATAGTATGAGGAATTTCATTCCATTTTCATAACAGTTTTGTTTACTCAGAAAGCTGTGCAAAATACAAAACCCAAATGCGAAAAAAAAAAGCTGGGTTCCGGAAGGAAATTTTTGAATGCGGAACTAACGGTGCCAAGCCTGAAACCGGCCATGTAGGGATGGGTTTTCCGGCTCCACTAGTGGCAATGGAAAACTGTGCACAAATGCACTTTACCATATGATGGCAGTTCTTTCCTACATGCCCAATCTCGATTCACTAGAGCATGTGTAAGGAAGGATGTTCCTGCTCTGCCTATGCCATCGGCTATTTATTAGGCCAACTGCGGTCTTCTTCATTTTTAGTGGATCGGTGGCGAGTAGGGAGATTCACCCATTGTGGTGCATAACAGTTTTGATGGACCGTGACGACAGGAAACACTGACAAGCCTAGCTCCTAAGTTAACCAAACTAGAAGCAGCTGGCTACCATTTACTCACTGAATGGTATTCTTAAGGATATGACGATAGTCATAGAGTGAGAACAGAACGACGACAAAGGGACAAGAAGGAGTCGTTATTCTGTTCTCGCGCTATAACTATCATCATGTCATACCAACTAGCCCAAACTGCCACACTTCTAAGGTATTCTTAACATTTAAACAACTTACGTCAAATCCCTTGTCGGGATCCCAGCCAACGTGCTGAATGTGCCTGCGACGAGAAAATAAGCAGAATGAAAGTTCAATGAGATGCGAGACAATGTCGCCTCTCCAGTCATTCATCTGGCACCGAGCCAACAGATTCAAATGCTATGGCACTCAAACAATACGAGTCGCTTTCCTCATTCAAATGAGCAAGCATTGCGACACATTGGGGCGCAGATGCGGCGACCCGTTGCACAAGGCGAGGAGCAGCAAACGCACTCACTTGAAGTCGGTTGGGTTGCTGATGTCAGCCTTTGTGTACTTCCTCTCCTTCTGCTTCTTACCCTTCTTGTTGCTGGACTTTGACGATTTCTTATTGTGCTGGCTTGATACACCATTTGTACCTGGAAAGAGCACCGAGCAATCGCTATGTTTACTTGTTTATCCTGGCACCAGAAGTGATGCAGAGAAGTGGCAAGTAAAAGGCAACAATGCAATGCAAGGCAAGGAAATAACAAGTACAGGGACTTATGGAGGCCTATTCTAACAATGAAATCAGATGTTTGTATCTGCAACACTTTCCTCAACCTGCATAGAGTAGAGTAAATTTGTAAATTTTTTAGAGTATCTTTACATAAACATGCAGTTGTATGCGATGGGGCCTATGTAAAAATAAACATGTCACTTCCCTTCTTTGGTGTTCAAAAGGTACAGCTCTGCATCAGGTTTCGTATAATAAAGAGTATGTCACATTTCACATATTTCCCAAAATAAATGTACAACACTTGAGTTTACATTAACCAAGGTTACTCGTACCTACTGTATATCTTTCTGTCACACGTATTGCGTGATGTTCTCGTTACAAGTACAGGCAGCAAGACCTACAAGACCTGTAGCATTTAAGAAATTGTGTGCCACAAATGAAATAGAGCATTAAGCGTTTCATTCATTTGTGTGTCTGGGTTTGTTATGCATGCCTTTACAAAAAATGCGTCAAAAGTGCTTGCAACTTCAGCGACAGTTTTCCGCACCACATGCATTGACACACTTTTGCCAGCTTTTCAATTGGGGCCGTGACAGTAGCGTTTTGATGGTGCCAGAATCATGGAGGCTCATGTACTACGCGGTGTCAGTGCAGGTAAAAGAAGCCCAGACAGTGTTGCTAAATCCCACCAAGCAGGAGAAACCTTGCATGCATTTTTTCTTCACCGGCATCAAGTTTTGTTTGCTTGGTTCCGTGGAGCCACCAAATTCGCCGCCTGCAATGGACGGCAGCAGCTTTTGCCAACACGCTTGCCAACGCTGTTAACATAGCCTAAATAGAACCGAATTTGCCCGTCCCGAGAACAGCAGAAAGCATGAAATTATTGAGGATTGACTTTAGGCTTTTCTAATCCAAAATAAACTTCATTTTTAAGGCTTGAACATTTTTTTGGACTATTTCGGGGTACCAGCATAAACTTAATTTTCAAGACTTGACGATTTTTTAGGACTATTTCGCGGTCCCTGCTAGATTCAGAAAATCGGTAGGCGACTGTATGCGTTTGAGAACATGGCCACAGCAGTGAAGGCCAAACCAGAAACAATGCATGCAACATATGTCATTATATGCACTTGAATCATATCAGTTTGATTGTGATCAAACACTTCTGGCGACGGAGACTATGAGGGGCTTGTGCATATGAACACTATTCTGGTAAGAAGAACATGGCATGAGAGTCATGGTGTTAACTGAAAGCGAGCACACTTACTGGGACATGTAGGAATCTGACGATCATGCACTGGAAAGGACTGATCGTTCTTGGCCGCCCTTTGTAACCTCTCTGTGTGGGAAAAGAGAAGGAGAAGCATAATAAAGTGCCAACGCAATCTTTCAAGCCGTCACTGGAAGTAATAACAACAGCCTACTATTCTGAAAACTAACATTCCCACGTTTAAAGGCCAACTGCAACAAAATTTTACTTCGGCGGTAACGGCCATAAATACGTAGTATATATACGATAAGTTTCGATAACGACTGTGAAAAATCTTTCAGTTGCGTATTTAATATATTATTTGTGCTCTAATTGCCAGCAAGCAGATGACGCGGAGCTCTTGCTGTGTGCGCAGGCAAATCGGACAGAGCTAGATATGACGATTACTACAGAACGTCGCCGCGTCGCTCCTTGTGAGCAATCCTCCCTGCCACTGAATCGCTGTTTCCTGCGTTGAAACCAATATTAATGCAGCGCGTTTGCCTGTGCGTTTGTGCTGCCTTGGCACTGCCTAAAGACAGCGTATTCGAAACGTGTTCCTGCTGCATTGAAGTCGATGGCAAGACAAGTTTAAGTGAAGCTGCGTTTCTGAATACGGGTGTCAGACACTGCAAACCCACCAGTGGGAAGCCCGGACCAGCATTCGATAAAAGGCATGTTCATGCAGCTTGCTTGAGTTAACATAGAAAAAAAACACACACACTAAGGGGCGCATACGCAATGTGCGTGCTCGAGGAGCGCGAGGCAGGCAATTTTTCCGTCATTCACGTCACTTTCGGTAAGCCGTAATGGCGTCGTTTTTTCTAGTTTTGGTTTCAAGAACACCGTTGTTTGTAAGCTATTTTTCTAAGGTAAGTGCTCGCATTTCGAAGGCGACATTTTGCAGACAGCACTACCTTTAGCTAGACAACCTATATATTAACGTTTTGAGGAATGCCAAATTTCGTTGCAGTTGACCTTTAAATGCACACATCACACCCGCTGTAGGGCGGTTGATAAAGCATTGGACGTGTTGTTTGAAAGTTCTAGGTTCAGTCTCTTCGAGCAGCAAGTTATCTTTTTGTCCACTTTGTTTTTCTCATTTACATCACAATTACTGTAAATAACATCTGTGTGTTATTTGGCCTTCTCATCTGTTAATTCTAATTAATGCTGTTTCTAACAAAGAAAAACGAGCCCTTAGAACTTCCTTTTTTTGTTTACCCCTAATAAAAGTTTTGCAAGAACAAGATGTCTGCAGATTTTGCAATTGGCTCACAACTGATAAAAAAAAATAATAATTATAAGGCTGTGTAAGGTATGTTAACCTATTTGTAAGTATCCGATAGCTCAAAATTGCTAGCAAAGCTTCAACTAAATCGAAAACTAAACACAAATAGCCCTTGTCACCTTTTTCATACACAACTTTTCAGGAACAACATCCCCTAAGTGTGCTGCCTTAATGAAACATGGGCACTTTCCAAACGTTGATGCCCTGATTGAACTTTGAAATGCCAGTGTGATATGAAATAGACAGGAACGGTGTGAAGATGTTTGCATGAAAGTGAAGGGTTGACATTCCTTAATTTTGCCCATAAATAACATCTACGTTACTGAACAGGGTGATGCTCTGCATTAAAACAATGTCACTTAGCATTAGACACAGCAGTCCTGAGTAAACACTATTGTTTTGCTTAACCACCAGTTGAAATCGTTTCATTGCAAGGCAAATAAAACCTTTTGCAAATACTGCACCCAATTATTGAAGGCACAGTCACAAATTGACTGCGCAGTAGCTGAAATCAAGCGAGTCCTCACCTTGCCGTTTCTGACGCCGGGAACGTAGCTTCTCATCAATAGCGTTTCCAAAGTTGGCTGCTTCATCTTCAAATGCAAAATTAACACCGGCTTGACAGTCCTGGGAAAAATTCAATGCATGTTATCTTTGTTTATCACATGGTGCACTTTGCAAATAACAAATACTGAAACGTTGAACTACCAATCGGAATGAACGAAAGACAGTTTTAGTATTGCCTCTGAGCTATCAATGTGAAATGGCTGTGGTGTCTGCCATATGGATGCTCTAAACAACCATTTACAAAAACACTAAAAAAGTGCATGCCCAATGAACACTTTCACAGATCCTTCGGGCAGATAGAAAGAAAAGCATGTTATAGCAACAATGTCACATGGCAACAACTGAAAAAAATAAAACAAAAGACACGAGCACATTCCTTCTACATTTTAGTCAAGTCGTGCTTACTCACTCTATCATAGATGCTAACCAACAAGCTCAGCAACAAATTTTAACAAGGTGATTTTTCATTCAGCCTCAACAGCATGAAAGAACTCACCCGATGCTGCTAAGGAAAATATACTGCCGATGTTTTGCTCTCTAAGTGAAACGAGATTGAAAAAAAAAGCTTTTTGCTTGCCGTTGCGACACACAGCAAGCTGCAAGGGCAGATGTGAAGCGGGTGGTTTGGAAAACGACACACCGTTATGCCAGCTGCACAAGTTAACATGCTAATGTAACCCTAAAAGCTTGTCATTTTGATTTTGCACATACAAAACTTGCACCCACTATGAGCAAATGTATGTTAGTGGATATCTGAGCCGAAATCAAGAAGAAGAAATCAACATGGGCAGGGCATGTAGGGCAGAGGCAAGAAAACGCTGCTCATTAAGAGCAACACACTAGGTTCCAAAAGAAGGCAAGCGTGTGAGAGCAAGGCAGAAAGCTAGGTGGGCAGATGAGATTAAGAGGTTTGCAGGGATAACGTGGCGGCAGCAAGCACAGGACTGGGTTGATTGGTGAAACGTAATAAGGGGTCTTTGCTCCACAGGGAGCGTGTTAAAGCTGCTGATGGTAACAATATAGTAAAACATGCAAGAGGTCAGTGTATGCTATACTAAAGCTCTATGATGAAATGCGTGACTGAAAGTAAAGTAAAATGAGTAGCCACAGGTTCATTTGAACAGTAGGGGCAAAATAAAAGTGATGCATCCCAGCTCACACTTACATCTGCCTCAAAGGTGTGAAAGTATGGAAGCCGGGTTTTGTATGTAAATTCAACAAAGAGCTCCTGCTCCCACACGAAGTCCCGCCTCTGTAAAGAAGATGAAACGTGATGGTGACAGTGAATGTCTCGAGTTACCAATACAGCAAATCCATTCTCTGAAAGTCGGCAAGGTCCATAGAGTAATACTGAAGGGGAAAGGATGTTTTTCATTTTCATGAGTAATATATAGCTTCAAACATCTTAAAGCAATTCAAACATCGTGGGCATTTTTTTAAGGCTGATAATAAAGTTATAGTTACCAGCCTTGCAAACATTGATTCACTAGTATGTAATATAAATTATGATATTGCAACAGGCTGCAGGGTTCTAAGGCTTGGTCCACAGTGTTTTTTATAACTAACAGTGATGACACTCACATCGAAGTCGAAAAGGCGGATGTAGAACGCCTTCGCCACGTTGTCCTTGATGAAGCAGACGACACCACAGCAGCACCGCTGCCACCGGTCATGTCTTGGAGGTGGACCTGACTGGTAGATTTCCGCAATGCCCATTGCAATGACCTGCAAAGGACACAACCGAGCTCCTTGACATACTTTTTAAGGGCCGCCAAGCCAACTTTGGTATTTTTTAGAGCGCAGCTATTAGGCTGCCGGGTTCTCCGTCGAGCGGTGTCGTCATTGGTGGCATAACCGATAAACACGAAAAAATAAAATGAGACAAAAAGATGCCCAGGATCGAATTAGCATTTGAACTTGGCCCTCTGCATGGCGGTAAGGCATTCTGCCCAATAGCCATACCAGTACCTGAAACTCCTTTGCAAAAAGACCCTACACTGGCATCACGTTGAACAAGGAATCGTGTTAACCTATATAATACAGCATGGCAGAAGAGCATGGTAGCAACCAGTCATCACACACTGCTAGACAAGTGTGTGATTTAACGCGTTCCACCCACTGCGAAGTGCTCAGCCACGTGCAGAATCAACAAAGTACAGATGTTTATCGGCTACCTTGCTTATCTGCAGGAAAATGTATACTGGTGTATTGGGTAGAACTTGTATATTAAATACAGAAGACAGTGAAAGACAAGGGTATTACACACTGTTTACTAAGATGAGAGGTGTTTGATGATGCTGTGGTTTGCAGTGAGCACTGATTTGACTTCGTCATGTACGCGCGTCTAGTATTTGCTTAGCAGTCTAATGCCAATTTTGGCACGAATCCAATCACAGTGACACACTGACCGGGTTTTTATTCCATTGGTTGAGACTGGCAATGATACGTCAAGTAGTGGAAAGCTCTAGATGCATTTTCACCACTGGGATTAGCTAACATGCACCTTGATGTTTTTACAAGTTGCATCCTCTGAAGCATGCTATGATTTTACATGTGTTCCATTATGACATTACTGAACATAATGTGATTTCTACAATATGCATCAATCCCGCCTTGAAGCAAGGCTGACACTACAACATGTGACAATTACAAAAAACAGGAAATAACAAGCAGCACTTCACTACACACCGATATGAAACTACCCAGGTGCAGTTCCGCTTTCCCAGATATCGACGACATGCTTATCAAGTTCTTGACAGCCAGACACACTTGAAGATTAGCAGAGCTATACGGGCAACTGAGAGACCGAACCTATGGAGGTTTAGAAGCCAGCAATTTAGACACAGAAGAGCTGACTTTCCTAGCTCCTTCAATACTTTCTTTTGGGTGAGTTGATTCATGGCACAGTGAAAGTTTAACAGTGATAACCCACATCCACAAGAACGTGTCCATGTTGTCTCTTCTGCGGGTGGGTGTTCGCGCTGTTATATCTTCGCTGCACTTCTCTATCATTTGGCCAGTAAGTTGGAAATTAGCATTGTTACTTAAAATACTATGGATGTACTAATAGTACCAACAAACAAAAATATTGGTGAATCACAAAGGCATACTGCTGTGTTCACGAGTGCTGATGTCTGCATGCAAGCTTAGCATGAAGTAGAACCAAGAGTATGCACTGGAGATTCTATAGATGCCCACTCTTTTCCTATTTAACTTAAGCCGTGTAGTTTTGCCACCCTTGAAGTACTCATGACCAGCTGTGTTGCTCAGCTGTCTTTTGCGCTGTGGTATTGAGGACAAAAGTTGAATTGCCACTCAGTCATATGAATTCATGTGGGTATCAGACGTTGCATAAATTAGGATATGGCAGTAGTGGGTTAAAGGGACTGCCTTTAATATTGATTAATATTGCTACTGGCACCCCGCAATTTCTTACGTCTTCGTAGATTGAACTATTCATTATCAACAAATAAACTAAACAGAAATTGCAATGTGGCGTGATAAATGTGAGGAAGTCAAATGCACTTAAGTAGCAAGATGAGCAAAGAATTATAATATTGAAGGAATGTCGCATGCCTTTCGAAATGCATGCAGTACAGCTGCTAACAGTAAAGGTGCGGCACTAAGCATGATCGGCATTCATCGCTTAGATTAAACATGACATTACTTCGTGTCACAGCCTACGTTGTGCTACCACATTAATTTTTTTTCATGCTCATAAACATCTGGCAGCATTAATTTTCTGTGGCAAGTCGTATATGACATTTAACAAACAAAGTACTCTGCGGTCTGTTTGTCTTACGTTGAGAAACTGTTTGGTGAAAACACAAACTGCGCACAAATGCTAGCAACTTTCATGTATTCGGCTAGTACTTTGCTGATAAAAAAAACAAAATTTGTAGGCAGGCCTAACGGTAGTGCCACAAGGTATATTTTGCCGAACACGATACCAGGAAGCCTGATTTTACCTTTGCAAAACGTACGAGTGACCAGTTAAGGACACTGGCAAAAAGAGCCGAGTGAAAATCTAACAGCTCTCAAGTACTCTTCTGTTCACGAGGAGCCAGCGGCATTGAAATGCAAGCGAGCGTTTCCTGTCGACACCCGCGCGCATCATTGTGAAGTCAACCTGTCAGAAAAAAAAAAAAAAAACAATGGTATACGACCGCGCCGGAATATATCAGGACGTGTCGAGCGAAGTACACCGCAGGCGACAGGCGCAGCTGTGTCGGCAAAGGCGCCGAACGACGTTTTTTTTCTTTATTCCACTCCCCTTTAACACGTAGTTCACATTTTTTTTTTCGCGCGGAACTCGACAGATTGTGCCTACTAGGGTTTGTGTGCGCGGTGACGCTTTGCGTCGCAGAACTGCTGCGATCGCAACGGTAAACGAGCACTCCGCCGTCGTTCTGGTAGAGCCCGAATTGGCTGCCGGCCGCTGAAGGCGGCGAAGTCGAACTAGTAACCGCGTAGATAAAGAAACACATAATTAAAGCCCCAGCGGCGAAGTAAGGCACGTGACAATAAAAACCGGGATTGCGGGGCGGAACAAACGTCACCTAAAGGACATTGTTTTTTTCTGAGCGACGAGGAACGAGCCAAGGCCTCGCGAAAGACAGATTACTCGCGAGGATCACTAGTCCTTGTTATACATCTGACAATCGTAATCGTACAAGCGGAAAAAAGACAAGGTGCAGCTGCTGGGGACGTTCGGGCAGGACCCAGTCAGCGGCGCGGCGCGGATATTCGCTCTGACGCGCCGTCGGTACTTGGCGAAGGAAGCACGGCACCACTTCGTCAGGGCCCCTCCAACAAAATCGCGGCGGCGAGGCGACCTAGTTGACGATTTTTGACGCGGCGTTTGCCTTCTCTCTACCTGTTTGTTCGCTTAATTGCCGCCTTCGAGTTCGTTTTTACGCCCCCCTCTTCACTTTTCTTTCCCCTCTCTTCTTTCGAACGGCCCGATTCGAACATCGATTTGTAATTTGTCACAGGAAAAATATTTACCGCGCTCGAGAGCGACGCTACGAGCGAGACACGCCTGCGGCCGGACGCCCCAACGGCGCTTAACGACGTTTCGTCGAGATAAACACTGGCGTTCCACTCGAAACAAGCAGGCCCATTCGCGAGACGGCCGGACTGGCGCTTATCGTCGCTGCGAACAGCCGTGGGAGACACTGGGCGACGTATGGCCATATCCCTCGTAAAGGTGGTTTGGCTGGTTGTCACCCAAAACTTTGTTGCCCGTGAGAGGCCCGGAGTACCGAGATACCGGAGGTCGTTCGCTGGGACTGTTTGCTCTCGTCGGCTAAACAAAGCCACTGTCATCACTGCGGCTCTACACCGAAGATGACTAAACAAACACTCTCTCCAGTCGGGGGCCCGACGATGACTAGGATACGCCGTTTGAAGCAGCGGGAAGTTGTAGGCGATGGCAGCCGAGAAAAGTCAGCAACCGTCTCTCGTTCGCTCTTGACTCGCTCATGGGGCGACAAACGGCCAATTGATGGACAGTGAAACGTCTTCAAGGCGCCTTTGAGAGGTCCTTACCAGCCATTTGCGATCCCTGCACGCCGAGACGACCGTTTCGTTCTCTTCGGCGGTCAAGTGAACCGAGCCCCGCATCTCGGTGCTCGGGCGGTAAGCGTTGCGCGCTGGTTGCTGGAGGTGAGACATGTCGGTTCTCATGGGTTCCCCGACGGTGACTCCGACGACGGAGGCGGGATCGCGACCATCTTTCACGGATCCGTTCGGAGAAGCGACCGCCGCTTGACGGAAACGACGACACACATCGCACACAGCAACCCGATGGCTGCAAATAACTTTACGCTGGCGATTGGCGACTCGAGGAACTGGATTGGCTCGACCGAAGCTGGATTCGCTTCAACAAACTAACGGCCACCTAGCGGCGCATGTTGACACTTCAGTGACTAGTGCGTGACAGTGACTAGGCACCGGTTCTCGCAATGTATTCAATAAAACAATTATTTTGCAGTCTTAAAACCACTAACCGCAGAAGTGTTTGTTGATTTTATTGGTATTATGAGTCTATTGTTTTAGTCAATTGGTTTGTGATGTTAGCTAATACATAATAGTGAATGTCTAAATTAAATCTATTATCGCCTGAGTTCTCTGTATTTTCTTGTACGTTGTTTGTTTTTTTTTTTGGTTAGTTAGTGAATACAGGTCATTGTAAATGTTGAAATAAAATATCTTTTTTTATTTAGTAGTCTGACCTACCGCCAGGTGTTGCGGCGATGCTCAACGTTTACAGCCAGCGTCGGCGCGTGTGTCTATCTCATTCATTGCAAGCAGTACTTGGGTCCGCATTTAGTGATCGGCGAAAGTAACGGTGCAATCGTCGTCCGTGGCATGGTTAGCAGATACAGCAGCACCGGACCCAAGCCATTTCCCATCCGAGGTAAGTCGATGGCGTCAGTTGCCGACAGCGTGACGGAGAGACTCTCCGTGCCGCTACGCAGCTACCCGGAGGGATCTCGGAGACGGAGTTGTAGTAGCTTAGGCCTTTCGAAAGAAACACGACCCTTCGAGGGCTCGTGTTTGTCGTATCCTGTGTAATGAGATGACGCGATTATTGTGGACAGTTAAACCGACGCGATCGAAAACCAATGCGGTCGGGATTGTCGACGCCAACGGCGGGAGTTTTACGCGGAGAAGGCGGACGACACGAATTTCGTACGACCGCCGGTTGCCGGTGGAAGTTCCCCAGGATCGATGATAGCGGGCCATTAGGCGAAGCACTCGCGTGATTCGTGTTTTCAATTCTCGATGAAGTTTGTGTGGTGTCATCTTGCGAGTTGTCCGAAAGACGCATCGCCTAAAATACCGCAGTTTCTCGTCCTCGTTAAGTGTGGACTCTATTAAGAAGACGAGAAGACGTCGATCGAAGTTGCTTTGTTTTCCAGCTTCGGTTATTCCGTCCAAAGTCGATACCACTGAAAACATTGAACGTCATTTCAAGGTTTACACATAAACGGGGATGCACACAAGATAAAGCGGCATTGGATCTGCCGTTGAACTACTTCCGAGCGTCGCTCGCGCTCTAGTTTGTCAGAGGTGCTTTTGGAAAAGATTCGGTCCCTCACTTCAGCTTCGTACCTCTAGTTTCGTTTCGAAAGGCGGAAAAACGCTGAAAACTACTCGATCTCGTATGAGGGATATTCCAAATACATGCTTCTTAGGAGTCTCATTGGGCCGAGTAAGTAAACGGTGGCTTGCAGTTTCGCTTGCTGACCGAATGATCGCCAGGAATGCATCTACGGCATTGCCTAGTTCGACGTTTGCGTTATTAATACCGCAAGAGCAGTCTTAACCGTGATCACTTTGCCGGTGCCATGCAACCCGCTGCTGATCGCGATTAAGCCCGATCTCTATCAAATTGCTCAACAGTGATTGGCTACCTTCTGCAGCTTGCGTAAAGATGCCAATCGTAACCGAGAAATTCGATCCGTGTCAGGTTTGATCGCGATCGAAATGGACCGTTTGACACCGGTGATTGGCTCCTTTACGCAAGCTGCAGAACGGATTCGATCACAATTGAGAAATTCGATTTTGATAGGGCGATCAGCAATGCGGCGTGTGGCACCGGTATGAAGCCTATGAACGCCACTTTCGGTTCACACTGAAATTTGTTCTCGTTTTCTTTTTATTTTTCTGTTATGCCAATGTTCGGGGCACGCAACTGTTGACGTTAAATCGCTAGTAGTAATTGCCGGCGATGACCTTTCCGCGATAAGCGAGTTTCGATGAAAGAGAGAGAGAGAGAAAAAGAGAGATCGTCGAAAAACCCGCTCCGTTGGCGGCGTCGCACGTGAACAACTCGTGAAACTTCACGTGTGTGACGTCGTATGTGTGCGTGTGCACAGCTTTTAAAATTCATCTGCCCTCTAACCTCTTCATCATCGAGTCAACTCACGTACCTCAGCCTGTGACTTCGTAATCAATTCCTCTCACAAATCCCGTTGTTTCTCGCCTCCGATGTTAGCGACTTCAGTTCTGCGCCTTATCTTCAGTCGGCTCTGACCCCGCTGTAAGAGTGTACGGGCGTTAATGGCGATTGCCGAGACGGCCGGAAGGTTAGGAGTATCACAATTTCGCCGTCGGTGTGCAGGGGGGAGATGAAATGAATTGCGAGTTTTTGTGAATATAAAACGAGAGTTATGCGTAAAAGTGTAGGCTATGAACTCCCTATCCTATACGTAAATATTATTTCTTTCTTTATACTTTCTTACCAAGATGTGTGTCGTCATTATTGTTCGTGCATGCCAAAACGCAAACAACATATGATACTGTGTAGAGATTCTGTATTGAATGAGGATTTCCTGGTTACATTTGAAACAGGCGCCATGACTGACAGATAGAGAGAGAGAGATGAAAACGCGTGCGCGTGTGTCTGCGAAGTCAAAGCCAAAAGTGAACATTTCGCTTCAACTGTACGGTGTTGACTGGACAGCTAATCTGAAAGCCGCTGCAGAATCAGTCGTCCGATGATTGGAACGAAATAAGAATGTAAAAAAAAATCTCATAAAAGATGGAAGAAAGTAGAGGGGTTCATTCCTTCGTAAAGTAAACATCTATGCGGTCGTCTTGTGTGTTTCTTCCCACTATTGTTCTCGTTTCCCATCCGTGCTGTTGCTCGCCCGAATGCACTTCCTTCACATTCTACAATTTCGTCGCGACATCATCGATATTTACACTTTGTACATTGTCGCCATTTTTTTTTTTAGGGGCGAAGCTCTTTAGGCGTGGGCTGTGCGTCCCCTGTATGTAGCCACCTCTTGTTTAGTTCTCGCAGTCTTCACTAGATGGCGGTACTTGTAGCTTATGATGCCCTTCAAAGCCCTGGGGTTTAGGGACAGGGAGGAAGCTTTAAATAGGAATGATGTCACTTATGGCGCGTGTCGTTAATGGAAGGCAATCGTTCGATTTAGCGCGGCGACGTACGATAGGGGGAGCGTTGTAGTAAAATCGAGTGGGCGTAATGTACGGAGGATCCACGGTTTACCAGGTTTACCTCCGGAGCTTCGCCCACTCATCATCATTCACTTCGTGGATATGACGGCACTTTTGTTTTTTACTATTCCCGCGCATTCACTTGTTAAAGGAGTCCACCGTGGTTGAGCAGGGGTTACGATGCTCGGCTGGTGACCCGAAGATCGTGGGTTCGGTCCCGGACGTGGTGGTCACATTTCGACGGAGTCGAAACGGTAAAGGCCCGTGTAGTGTGCGATGTCAGTGCACGTCAAAGAACACCAGCAGATGGTCGAAATTTCCGGAGCCCTCCACTACGGCGTCTCTCAAAATCATATCGTGGTTTTGGCGCGTGATACTCAATACAATATTATTATTCACTTATTAAAGAGGTACTGACACGGAAATATTTTTCCTTTTTTTGTTGCGTCAAATAAAAGGTCAAAGAACGTACACAATGCACTGCTAATCGTGAATTCTGACTGCAAAGTTAATTACAGCACGTCTTTAAAAACTGGTTTCGGTTCCAACCGTGCCCTGACGTCACAACACGGTACGAGCTTCTCGTCTCGTGCTTACGCGAGATGTCGTGACGTTTCTACGGCCGCTCCGCACCTAGCGTCCGTAGGTGACGCACAAACGTCACTATATATCGTCATATTGACGTTTGGTACCTGACGTCATCAAAACTATCGAGATTGCTGCGCGAATTGATTGATTGATACGTGGGGTTTAACGTCACAAAACCACCATATGATTATGAGACGCCGTAGTGGAGGGCTCTAGTAATTTCTACCACCTGGGGTTCTTTAACGTGCACCCAAATCTGAGTACACGGGCCTACAGCATTTTAACCTCCATCGAAAATGCAGCCGGGATTCGATCCCGCGACCTGTGGGTGAGCAGCCGAGTACCTTAGCCACTAGACCACCACGGCTGGGTGAGATTGCTGCGTTAAGTCACCACTGACAAGTACTGGAGTCTCACATCAAGCTGTGGTCTATGTGGGCAGACGCGCCGCGGAAAAATTGACTTTACCATCGAAATAAAATGTCCTAGCATTTCCTGATATTCACACTTGCTCACAGCTGTGTCTGCATGTAGGACATTTGTACGGCTGAGCAAACCCACCTTCAAAACAACAACAAAAAGAATGGTGAGAACGGTGTCAGGAGCATTTGAATTTTATTAAATATGCTAAAACTTACTTCGAACAAAAACAGACGCAGTCGCCAGCCGGTCTTTAAAAGAGGCTGAATTTTTCTTTTAGTTTGACCTCAGAGCCACTGCCTGGGTAGTCTTCTTCAGTGCCTTCTTGGAAAGAAGGTCCATATTAAACTGAACAGCCGACATTTCATAATTAACATTAGGAGAGTGCGTGCGAAATGTCGAAGTTTTGATTACGACACGCAGTAGCACCAGCCTCTTTATGAATTTAATAATAAAAGAAAAGCCATAGCTATTCAGGTTTATTTTTATTTGCGAATTTCAAAATGCGGAAGTTGAGAATATCAGGTTGAATATTATTCCAGTGCAGTGTCGTTGTAGAAAATAAGATGAAGTGCGCGGGATTAAACGAAAACCCGTCTGGTCAGGAACATTTATGGCGGGAAATAGCAAGCACCGACCCATCGTTGAAACAAGACTACGGGGATGCCGGAACGTCATTTTTCTGTTTTTATTTCAACGATTGGTCCTTGCCACTTTAGCGGGGCCGAAACTTCATTTTCCTGTTTTTGTTTCAGCGATTGGCCGGTGCTTGCTGATTCCCGCCAGAAAATAAGACGGGGAGGTTATTGTAACTACTGCACCGAATTATACACTGGACAGATCATTCATGCTGCAGAACC